CACATACGCAACAAGCAACAAAAATACAGGGGCAACAGGCATTTGCAGAGTGTCGACATAGAAAGGGCTGGAGAAGGAAAGAGCACAGGCCACAACTCCTCTCTTACTCTTCAGTGCTCTCTGCTCTGGACCTCTGTGTAGAGGATTTCCACTGATTTTCCTTCTGAAGTCACCAGTTGGGAAAGCTAATAACAGTATTATTGTTCAGCGGTTCACCTGGCATGCTGGCAAATGATCATTCCAGTTCCTATAGTCACACTCTCCATCATTTCCCTTCCAGCAGGTTCAATGCATGTTAGGTGGTTTTGCTATTGTCACAAATGACCAACGCAGGATTATCTCTGTTGAACTAAAAACAGCAAACGGCTAAAACCCATCATACAGACACTTTCATGCCTCTTGATTTCCAATAATGATGGCAGGCTGTTAAAGCCCAACTCCAGCTAAAAATATTTTTTTTTACTCACTGTCTATGCTCCTTTGCCCCCCAGAAACCCGCACCCTTCTAAATCATGCATTTATTTCATCTTGGCATGAAAAACAGCACATCAAAAAACTGCTGGCATGCTTCAGCCCATACACTGGTCCTTAGTCAAAGCAATTAATTTTGAGTAATGTTCGAGTGACGGTTTCTACTTGTTTTACACACATAAACACATTCCATCTGAGACCTTGCTCTGTTTCTCTAAGGACTGGGCCTTCAGGGTATGGGAGAGCATGTGCACTTTTCCATGTGACTATGTTCCGGCCTTAGCAGCCAATCTTCAGGCCTGAACACAGTTATGTTGGATAGGCAACAACATCATCCACCCAAGTAAGCTCCAGCTCTGCAGTGAGGGAGCACAAATTGGTCACCATACCTTTCTGAGGCAGGAGTATGCTATCAGGAGACAGTCTCACTGCACTGAATGAGAAATGTGGCAGTGTCTCTTTAACATTTCCTGGTATGATTATGTGCACCCTATAAACGTTAAGATGTTAATACTATTTTACTGATGTTGTACATATTGAGTAATAAAATATACATAAAGTAGTAATATGGTCTAGTTACAGCAAGGGTTGCAGGTTCAAACTTCAGAAAAAATGGGTCACAAGTGTATCACAAACATCCAGATTTCCGGTTTGTTGGTAAATCTTAGTATCTGCAGTTTTTAAATGCGCAAATGGGATATAATCTTTAAATATCTATGGAACATACACTATATTGCCAAAAGTATTGGGACACCGGCCTTTACACGCACATAAACTTTAATGGCATCCCAGTCTTAGTCCGTAGGGTTCAATATTGAGCTGGCTCACCCTGTGCAGCTATAACAGCTTCAACTCTTCTGGGAAGGCTGTACACAAGGTTTAGGAGTGTGTCTATGGGAATGTTTGACCATTCTTCCAGAAGCACATTTGTGAGGTCAGGTACTGATGTTGGACGAGAAGGCCGGGCTCGCAGTCTCCACTCTAATTCATCCCAAATGTATTCTATCAGGTATTCATCCCCAAACTGTTCCCACAAAGTTGTGAGCATGCAATTGTTCAAAATGTCTTGGTACGCTGATGCCTTAAGAGTTCCCTTCACTGGAACTAAGGGGCCAAGCCCAACCCCTGAAATACAACCCCACACCATAATCCCCCCTCCCCCAACTTTACACTTGGCACAATGCAGGCAGGCAAGTACCGTTCTTCTGGCAACCGCCAAACCCAGACACGTCCATTGGATTGCCAGACAGAGAAGTGTGATTCATCACTCCAGAGAACACGTCTCCACTTCTCTAGAGTCCAGTGGCGAGCGTGCTTTACACCACTGCATTGCACTTGGTGATGTAAGGCTTGGATGCAGCTGCTCAGCCATGGAAACCCATTCCATGAAGCTCTCTATGCACTGTTGTTGTGCCAATCTGAAGGCCACATGAAGTTTGGAGGTCTGTAGTTATTGACTCTGCAGACAGTTGGCGACTTCTGCGCACTGTGTGCTTCAGCATGCGCTGACCCCGCTCTGTCATTTTATCTGGCCTACCACTTCGTGGCTGAGTTGCTGCTGTTCCCAGTTGCTTCCACCTTGTTATAATACCAATTATAGTTGACCTTGGAATATTTAGTAGCAAGGAAATTTCACAGATGGACTTATTGCGCAGGTAGCAACCTATCACGCTACCAAGAATTCACTGAGCTCCTGAGAGTGACCCATTCTTTCACAAATGTTTGTAGAAGCAGTCTGCATACCTAGGTGCTTGATTGTATGCACCTGTGGCCATGGAGGTGATTGGAACACCGGAATACAATGATTTGGAGGGGTGTCCCAATACTTTTGACAGTATAGTGTATATGTTTCTTAGCCAAATCAGGGAGAGGATCAATGCATGCCCCTCAGTTAGAACAGAAAGATCTTGGACTGTAATATGGTGCATAGATTCATTCATTTTGTAAGTACAATTCATGGCTCTTCTCATCAGCCAGGATAAAAGGGGTTTATTTGCTTTAGAAGGAAAATGTTTTTAAATAATTTAACTCTGCATAATAGCTAAAATACCACAATCTCATTCAAAAAGTATTAAGCTGTACGACAAACAAACAAATATATTTCCATTATTTTTTACACAAATCCAATTATAGAAGAGAATTGGAAATCACTTAAAAGATAATCAAATTAGTAGAATCACTAAAAGAAGAAATGTTTGCAGAAAGCTTAAACATCAACAATGACCAGCGTAATTATAGTGAGGGATATTATCCATGCTGATTGTTCTAGAAGAAAGATTTTAAAAAATGCAGTTAAAGAACTAATCGTTAATATTAGCTGTTACATATCATACTATTTTGGGCAGGGTATTTTTTTGTAAATGCAAATTATTGCACAACCTATTCAGGTCATGGCTTCATCTACACAATCTCCTACGTGAAATAATGAAAAGCATAACGTATTATATATTGTCTAGATAATTTGGTCTATAAAATGAGACATTTGTTTTAATAGGTACTCTGCTCCCAACATGACACAGTTTTCTTTCCTTCCAGCTGTTCTCACCAGCTGTTACTTTCTTTATGTAAACTATTGCAGAACGGGAATACATTTCTTTATAGAAGACTGCAAGATCTTGGGCATAAAATTGGCTATACTTAAGCGGTGACCTAGACTGGTCATCTGACCATTTGGGTATGTGGCAGAAGAATCAATTCTGTGGAATTTGTGCTACTTTGTCATTGTACAAATGCCACCTCTATAACACGTACTACTTACTAAACCTACCAAACTACTTACCCGATTGAACAGGAAATCCAAAGCTTACTGTGTGCCTAATCAATTGTAAACACCTTACCTAAAATTGTGGCTGATATAGAACAAAAGACAAAACACCAAGTTATATAAGATGGCACTTATTGGCCCTGTGTAATACCTTTTTACAAACTGCAAATGATCAAAACCATTCTACTTACAAGGAATATAACACAAAACCGCCACAAACAACCAATGTTCCCGAAATTCTGTATGGAAAGAATATTTGTCCATGTGAACATCCACACTACCGCTTTCAGGAAACAGCATTGACACTGGTCGGCAGTGTGTGCAGATAGCTGAAGCGTTTCCAAGGGACGCCCCATTCTTCTTTGCACTGCACTAACTCTAACTCTGATTTCCCAAATTACTTTTGCTGCTCGATTGGATAAAACAAAATTATTATTTTAAAAACATGCATAGCTACGTGTCAGGTGAAACTGCATGAACATGCTTTCTGTAAGAACTAACCAGCATTTTATTTTTAGTTTTACAGATTTTTTGCACACGCATTTTTCTTGTGAAAAATAATAGAAATATATTTGTTTGTATGTTGTACAGCTCGATAGTTTTTGAATGAGATTCTGATATGTTTGCTATTATGCAGAGTTCAATTATTTAAAGGAGAACTATGGGGTTAGGGCTTTTCCCCATAGTTCTCCTAAGGATAACGGGAGGACACAAACTAGTGTCCTCCCGTCACCCTAAACTCAGTATACCGTGAGCTACAGCTTGCGGTATACTGAGACGCCGCAGCTTAAACGGATCCCGACAATTATGTCTGGATCCAGCCAGCTGCGTGAGTGACAGCTGGCTCTGCCTATCTAGAGGCAGAGCCAGCTATACCCACCCCTCCCCCATCCGTTCTGCCAGTCAGCACTGGAGGATTGGAGCGGGGAATCCAGCCCCTCCCCTGCCATGGCTCTCTGCCGTGACAGGATCGAGAAGTGAGCGAACGCCAGTATGTGTTCGCTCACTTCCCAATCTACTAAGCTGACCTGTGACAGTTTCACTGTCACAGGTCGGCTAGAACTATCAGGGAAAAGCACTCACCTCATAGTTCTCCTTTAAATTGTTTAACGATGTGACTGTTGTGCGAATGGGGCAAGATTAATACTGGTGAGCTCAATAAAGCTCAAAATTCTGGGAAAAGCACTCACCTCATAGTTCTCCTTTAAATTGTTTAACGATGTGACTGTTGTGCGAATGGGGCAAGATTAAGGAGTCTATTCACAAAACTAGCCGAAAGATCAGCCGAAGCAAGAAGTCTCTTGCCTCCTAAACCTACTTAACAATAAATCTAATACATCCCTCAACATTCTGTTGTTCTACTGTATCTGTTCAGTTATGTTATATAGAGGAAGGTTTTTAATTAATTGGGGAATCGGTTATAGAGTTATTTCTCTGCTACTCATTGCTTTTGAAGCCTCTGAACAAACCATTTTTCTAATTGCTGTTATTAATACTGGTGAGCTCAATAAAGCTCAAAATTTTAATTATAATGGTTTTACAGAGCACTGCAGGCAAACAGTTAAATACACAATTAAAACACAGGGAAGACATAATTTATACCTTGCAAAATGTATATTCACATCCATCCAGCCCTAAGAGTTATATATAGTGATGTCCCCTCTCCACCCCTAGCATGATGACTGGGCAGTAAAAGAGCAACAGCAGACTGATGAGGTCAACCATCTGCTTACTCTCATCCTATCAGCGTGTTCTTTCTCAACATATTTACATGCAGCTCACCTGACTGGCTACCACTCCTGCACCTCCCTCTACTAATTACATTTAATAAGTGGGTTTTATTAATTGTTTATTATTGAATACAGAGCTGTACTAATGTGTGCCTTTTTTATATGAATACATAGTTTAATGAATGTGTCCTAATTTAGGTGTCTTAAGAAGATGGAGGTGTCACAAAAAAACTATTAATTGTTGTTATACATACTGTATATAGTGCATAAATTATACATTTCCCTCTAAAAAAGATAATATTCATTAACCTAACATAAGTGAACTGTAATAACCAATACATATTTTCTGTTTTCCACAGTTGATTGTGGTGACCCTGTTGAACTATCGGGAACCAATGGCACCTTTAGCTCTCCAATGTACCCTCAAAACTACCCCAACCTTGCTTCATGTAAGTGATATGCTACATGTTTAACCTTCACATCTACACTCCAGATAAAACATATCTGACTAACCTAAAATAAAACTACAATAGTAATTTTCTTAAATTACATTTTTAGAAGAAATTGTAAAATAAAGCAATTATGTTAACCATATCTGGATGTGGCACCCCAAGGACGTTAACAAGATAAATAAATCTTAATTATCTTAATGAAATGTTCCCTATTCCTATAATATACTTTACTCTGTCTTTTCATAAGGGCTCACCAGAGCCTTATAAATACATCAAGAGATGCTTCTGCTGTGTTGAATTAATTATTACACATATCAAAAGAAGAGAAAGCTGGTTTTACAGCCACACACTATATGAAAGATTTACTATGGACATTTAAAAAGGCAACAGTGAAAATGTATGCTTTCTGTGTTTAAAGTAGATAGAACAAAAGTGGATGTGAGTAAATTTCAATGAAGGTACATAATCAGACAAATAAAGGAAAGATATGCAAATTTATAATTTTCATTCAACAGCTGTTACTGCTTGTTGGTATATGCATATGTTTAATAGTATTGTGTATTTTATTATTAAGATCTTAATTTCCAATTTCAGCTTGTATTAAAAAAAATGCTGCCCAACCCTTTTTTTAAATAAATTAGCAGCTTTGACTGCAATACCTAACCTATCACCGGCACTGACCCCTACAGACTCTGTGCTCCAAGTTCCAGCACCGATCTTCTTCTCGGTTGAAGCCCAGCAATTTTTCAGTCCAATTTGAGCCTAGTGCTTTAAGGATGCTCCCAAGTATGCATTATCAAGCCACCCAGGGCTTACAGTTAAATGATGTAGAGAATGGCTCCACATTATAATGTAGTGCTATCCTCTACAGCATTCCAGACCCGACCACTGCCGAAGACAGATAAAGGAGAAGAGGATCTGATGTGCCACCTGATATGGTATGTATATAGAGATTTTTTTTTAAATGGTTGGTGGGGGCTCTAGGGTTTCTGAAGGCAAGTGATGGAGTAGGTCTTCAAAGATAAACTAATCAAAAACAAACATTATATATATACAGGGGGTGCCAAAAAATGTATGCACATTTTCTGAGATGTTATCTATGGATTACTTTTCTAAGTTGAATTACGGTAGCAATGTGTAGTATGATGTTTTCTCAATAGATAGCATTAATCAAGTGAATGCTAGCATCAACATGCGACAGGCAGGACAGTCAAATAAAATGGCAGAAGCACGGTTGGAGTGGACACTTTGATCAACGTTGCTTGAGGAGTAGTTTGCCATAATCAGAAGTGTCTGGACACTGATGGTAACCACTTTGAGCACCTCTTGTAATTGCAGAAGTCAAACGTGACTTGTATTAATCTTTTGTTATCGGTATATATTGAGTATTACAATTTGAATGCAGTTTTTCCATTCTTAAAATAGGTATACATTTTTTTGCCACCCTCTGTATATGTCTTCAGGCTGATCATATGATGCTATAGCGTCCTCTTCCTCATTTGCTTTCTGCACCTTTCCACAGCAAGTTCAGGGCTTTTTAAATCACAAGGTTGGATGCTGTAGGAAGAAGAGCTAAGGAAATTGAAATACCTAAAATAACTCTTTAGATGGTAAAATATTGAAATGTATTTTTCAGCACAGAAGCTGCGTGCAAAATCACATAATTACAAAACAGACTTCCGGTAATACATTTTCCAGACCAGCATGAGAAAAGATACATTTTGGGAAAGTTAATTAAATCATATCCATGGCTCTCAGATTCTATCAAAAATCGTTATATTTTGGCCCAGGAATGTCATTAAACATTCCATCAATATGAACTAATTTATTCTTAACTCTAATGAAGTTCCTGGGTGAAATAACTTGTTGTCTTCAGGTTGCAGGCATGCAACATTGTGCTGCCATTAATAAAATAATTAATAGTCAGTCAGTTATTTTACCTCTGGTTTCTGTTAGTGAATGTTTCCTGAAGGTTTTGAAAGAAATAAAAGAACATAGCCTAGTTGCTAACATCAATTATCTTTTCAGCAGAGCTGACAGGCCTTCAGTGGCAGGATTCTATAGAATGGTTTGACAGCACAGAAAGTGTGGAATATTTATTGACATTGATTAAACCACCTTAAAAATGTACAAGCTGCTCCAGCTTTGTAGATAAATTTGTATCTGGAGAGAATTAAAGAGTTGCTCCATCTTTGTGACAAAAATGTAGAGCAGGACAGTGTAATGATCAACCTTGTTAATATTTATATGTATGTACAGCTTGCAACTGTGACTGTGGAAGGTTGTCCATGTAGCTGTTACCATTAATAGGTACACATATATATAGTACAAAATATATACGTATATACAGTAGAGAGAGAGGGATGTGTGGTTGTGTATATATGTAGACACCCTTCTAAATTTTTGGTCTCAGGTCACTGGTCATGTCAGTCAAAGGAACTGTTAAAACATCAGCATACAATGACATTTTAGACAATGGTGCGTCTGCAACCTTGTGGCAACAGTTTGGGGAATCTTATTTTCACGCAAGACTATGCACCTGTGGAGAAATTCATATCCATAAAGACTTGGTTTCAAACGTTTAGTATGGAGGAACATGAGTCGTCTGCCCAGAGCACTTACCTCAACACTATTATACACCTTGGAACATTGATTGCAAGGACCAGTTCCCAAGACACTTAAAAATCTTGTGGAAAATCTTCTCAGAAGAGGGAAGGCAGTTATACCTGCAAAGAGGAGGGGTGACAACTCATATGGGTGGTCCAAAGAGCTCATATTGGTGAAAGAGTCAACTGCCCACAAACGTTTGGCCATATAGATTCACAGCGCAAAAAGCAAGAAATATATCTGGATGTTTTTTAGTTTCATCTGCTTCCATTCTAGAATTGATGTAATGTTCTCTTCATGCTGTAAATAATTAGAGGTTAAAATATTTCCTGCACTCACTGTATCAGTCAGATGTGTTTTTTCCCTTAAAAAAATATTTTAGGCTTTGTACATCTTTATACAAAGGATCTTACATTTTTATTCAGAATGGATTCCTCTTACACTATATATTCCTAGTTGGCTTTTGTTGGTTGGATCTTGAAACTTTCAGCCAAAGGTGCAATTTCTACCCTGTAGCATCTGCTGTGTAGGCAAGAGAGAAATTTTTTTTGTATTTTTTTGTTAAATATATTGTCCGGTCTATGAGCAAGCCATAATTACTCTCACAGCAGCACTTTCTCAGGGGAACCAGAATAATCCTAATAAAGTGGTCAGGCAGTGCATACATGTTAAATATTGTAAAACAATTATTTTACTGTAAACACTGACAATGCAATTAGATTGTACAGGGTTTTTTCCCCCCTTTGCAAGCTTACTCTTCCTTTTTACAACTTTTGATGTTTCTTTTACTTTTCTTACTCTAGGTATATGGTATCTGAATGCAGCTGCGGGAGACAATATCCAGCTGCATTTTGAAGTGTTTGATCTGGAGAACATATATGATGTTGTTGAAGTTCGAGATGGCAAAGGATCAGATTCATTGTTGCTGGGCAAGTATCTATTCTGCTCTTAGATGCTGCTTTCTGAAGTTTTGTTGTGTACAGTAGATTTTGTGTGAGTGCCATAAATTATTGCAAGGTAACAGTTAGCTGCTCGATCTCATGCTGTCATTGAGGAAGAACTGAGACAAACCACCAGACACCCAAGTGCAGACTTTGCAGCTGAACTTCAACTCATAAAAAGCAGGTCACAAAGTTCACAGCTTTTCTGATGCGCTAGCTACTCAGAAGAGACATGCTAGAAAATTATCATGCAGAAGATGTGAGAGTTCCCAATAACCTAACAGAATGGTGATGCATTGCATGTTAACACTGCAAAATAATACCATCAGAGACAGGAGAATATACTGTATGTGTTTATCTGATTCTTTAACTCAGTAAGCCCCAGTGGTAAATACAATTCAAAGGACTATGCAGGCTTTATCTGAAACAATGTTTACTTTTTTTTATTATTAGTAGTAGTAGTAATAGTAATAATAGTAGCAATAGTAATAGTATTACTTTAACACCTTATTAATGTTTGTTTAAGCACAAACATTTAAAATATTGCAGCTTATGAGTCCTGATGTAAGGGCTACATTAATTTTCATTTTAAAAATAATTTTTCCTTTTATTTCCACCTGAAACCTGAACTTGCCAGTAACACACTTTCTATCCTAGAGTTACAACACTTACTCTATCTTTAAAGGAGCCGCATGGTTGCCCTAGGCTGTTTGCTTCTGATTTGAACTACAAAACATTCCCCTTTTCCTTGTCTCTTTAGCAAAGGGAGTAGGTGTTCACAGAAAGAATTGTAAGAGGGCTGATAACATTGCTTGAGGTTTGAGTGTGAGGCAGAGGGCACAAGAGGTTATGAGGTGTCTAGATTTCTCACATAATTATTAGGGCTTTTTTGCACTTAATAAACATATGTAACACAACCCTTTCAATGGTATATTTTACATGGCAACAGGGAGCAGATGTTGTTATTAAGCTTTTCATACACTTTTCATACAAAGTATATGTAAAACTGACCAATGAAATTATATAAGCTTTAACACGATAATGTCATTTCAAAAGTTTTTTTTTTAACCTGCAACTTTCCTTAAAATAAATACTTGATGATGCTGCCATGGGAGTCCTTGTTCAGGTACTTCTTGCTATAGCAGCAGTAGACAACTTCAGCACTCCAGGTGTGGTGAAACTACATATCAGATCATGTCTCTGCCTCTGGGAGTCATGCTTGTAGCTGTCAGAATCATTTAATGCCTCATGGGACTTGTAGTTCTACAACAGCTGGCCAAGGTTGCCTACCCCTGTGTTATAGTATGACAATTCTCTGCCCATCTTCCAGTTGTGCAACTGCATTCTAGCCCTGTCACACACTCTCTTACATGAAGCCCTCACTACCGACGAAGCCAGCACCACGCATCTCAATGAAAATATAATTTCAAAATGTGTAGAGTTTGTACAGTGTAGTACAGTGGATTCTGTCAACCTCTACAGCTGACCATACATGTTACATTGTGATTGTAAAATGTTTTTAAAGTCTCCTTTAGATTTACCAAAACTATGTAATGTGCGGTTTTACCTAAACAATCTTGCAACACAATTGAAGAGTGCTAAAAGGCGACAAATAATTTGTGACAGCTGCTTGCTGATCAAAAGAGAACTCCCCAAAGGTTTTCACAAAAGTAACTTATGTATAAAATCAACAGTGCCAATAAATCCTTAATAGTTTCAAAGCATAAGATTCACTTAATCATTTCCATAAAAGCCGAAAAAACATTAATACATGACAATTTTATAAAGTCTTATGAAACCCTTAAAACTGACATTTTAATAATGGTTAAAAAAAAGTGAAATTTAAAAAACCCTCCCATTCGCGGAGTAGCATGGCAGGATTGGTATTGGTACCCACAAGTGGAAATGGAAGCAAGTCATTAGGAATAATAATACATATGGTCTTGAGCCTTAACCTGAGTAACAAAAGGATTATCCTGAAGAGTACTGAAGCTCCTAAAGGACCAGCAAGACATGTTTTCTCAGGCACTGACACAGCAGTCTGAGCAGAATTTGTGCTTGTACCCTGCATGATGTTAAGGGTATACTGGAGGCTGCCGCTGCTGGAGCACCCCAACTAGGCTTTCAGATGATGGAGATACACATCTAAAAACAGAGCTCCCACCTTCAAAAGAAAGATGCCACACCAGAGAAGTTGATGGATGACCCCATAATATTAGTGAGAACCAGTTACTTTTTACATTAAATTACTTTTGTAATTTTTTACCAATCCAATACCCATAATTTACAGAAGTGGGTTAATTATCCCATATATGAAGATGATTATCACATTTGTATCATTATCACCTCCATCAATCAACAGCCATCGCTGAGTGCTTTCTTAGCGATCATATTTACCTGCCATTGGATCTATTTTTGCACTCATTCTGGAGTGTATGAAAAATTGCAATTTCTTTGCTGTTTTTTTCCCTTAGGATTATAGAATTAAATTCTGATATAACTGTACATGCTGCATATTTGTTGATTTATTAAGTAGAGTATTACCCTTATACACAACTAGCATTTACAAATTATTGTATTTATACTACTTGGTGTGAAAGCGAAAACTTTCAAATTACACAAAAAATTGAATTGTATGGGCTGAAATATATTGGTTGACTATTGTTCACTGTTAATAGTGCTATTATTGTCAATTTATGGTGCACACAGTAAGCCAGTTATTTGTCCTAACTTATCTGTACATTGAATATGATGGTAGGTGAATAGGGCAACTTTAAGGGCTTAATACTAGCTTGCTGGCAAATCATGATATATCCTTTTGTACAATTTTAGAGCACTAATTGAATGTTCCTAACATATACTTGTCAATGGAAGTATGAAAACAGCATTTGGTAAGGGTTTGATCATTGCTATAGGGTCAGAGCAGCTCTAGCTATGAATTGTGTTCTATAATCAGCTGCCTCTGCTGTGGTAAGATCTAAAGGGATGGTAAACCCTAATAATCTTCCACTGTAACTGTATTTATTGTAAAGCTTTTAGTAAATGTCAGGTTGGCGCAGATTTGACAAGCTTGCTTGTTAGCACATAATCGTAAACTTTTGTAGCCTAACATTTGATGAACATTTACAATAAGCACAGTTGCAGTTTTATACTTTTCCTTGACCTCGCTGTGAGGGAGTTGAGATTGGACTGCAGTGGCTCCACTTTCTGTGCTGCATGTTTTGCTTGGTGTATGGGTGAAAGCAGCATTTGCCTTTTCCATTAATTGAGACTGAAGCAGTATAAGTAGCCATTCCTGTCTCACTGTCAGCCAACTTCTTGTATGAAAGTGGAGCACAGTCAGATTGGGACTGGCAATCTGGTATTTGCCAGAATTTTTTTTTGCCACAGTAAATGCTGCTTGGCTTAATTTTCTGAAGGCCTTACATCTAAACTCTAGGTAGATATAAAAGACACACATTATTGCAGCTCTGTATACATTAATAAACCCTTACATATTTTATAAATAAACCCCCTCCTTTTAAAAAAACTGCAACTACTCTATGTACCTGAATTTGGCTTGGTATTATCTCTTGCAATCTCCTATATAGCAGCTCCCAGACTGGGAGAAGGAAAGGCAGGACTGGAAGACAAGTGCATTGAAAACCATCAGGGTGGTAGAAGGAGAGAGAAGCATAAGTAGGGGATGACCTAATTAAACTGCTGCTGCTCCTTCACTGTGTAGTCAGAAGGTTGGGGGTGGAGAGAGGGAACCACTGTCTCTCTTCAACATTCTAACACTATAACAGAAAATGTTGTGTCATCCACCTGGTTGCGCTGTGTGAGGGGGTTGTGTATGTAGTTGTTATTTGTAGTTCATCTGTGTATTTAGCTGTTTGCCTAAAGTTTAACTTTAATTAATCCTATATTAGTAAATGCAAAAAACTGATGAAATCTGTGTAAAGTCTGCAGTAAGACATCAGAACCTTTTGTCATAAATTCAAATATGGTACAGTAAGCAATTTAAGGCCAGGGCTGTTTTCCACACTCAGTCCAGCAATAATACCAACCAATGACTAAAAATGTCCACACAAATGTCAAGGACCGCAGTAAAACTTCAGCAGAATTATATGTATTTTCTTTTCTTGTATTTAGCTGTTTATACAGGAGCTATTGTGTTGCCTGATGTCTTCTCCACAACCAATCAGATGACAGTTTATTTCACATCAGATTCATCTGCAACAGCAAAGGGATTTCTGGCCAACTTTACCACTGGTTACCGACTAGGCATGCCAGGTAGGTAACTGTTTTTCTGTTTCTGTCTTGGATATAATTTTTATGCACATGTAAGACAAGACAAATATAACTAATAAGCTTACACACTATCAAGTTATCACCACATCTTTATTTTAAATAGGAGCTTGAGCCATTCCTATGTTTTCCTATGTATAAAACTGCAGTACAGCCAGTTATCATGAGCAGTACTGATTAATAGTGATACATATGAGAGAGTCTACTATTTGTTCAATACACAGTTTTTATAGGTACAGTGGATCTAAATGGAAATAGAAACCATAGTGTTGCAAGCAGAACATTGTAATTACAGAAGACAGTAGTACAATTTTTTCGAGATTAGTAAATTAATCCATAAAGATCAAGATCTAACCGAGACTGTTCAAGTTCAAATAGGGATGAGTAAATCTGCCTGGGTTTGTTTTGGAAACAGTTTTGTGAATTTTGCTCAAAGTTCACGAACTTTAAACCACACTGAAGTCTATTGGGGGTGAATCTTGTTATTCTATTCTGCCCATTTATAGGGTGAAAAAGCAAGCTGTTGTCAAACAAAAGGCATGGGGAAGCAGAAACTGCCACGCAGACATGTACCAATGCCAAAATAAAATAAAAAATAAATAAATAAAAATGCTAGCCTGGCTTTTTACATTTCAGTGTTCCTATAGTAAATAGGTAGGATGTACAAAGGACTTCTTACTGGTTTATGGGTGCAGGGGCTAATTATCTAGCATGTGCTAAACATTTGGGAACATTTTAGCTAACTTACAATATTGAATAGTAGGGCATAAGAGATGCAAAATGACCCAGTCCACCTAATTACTGGAATAAAAAAATAAAGTTGAAAAAAAAAAGTCCGTTCTTTGGATCTTAACCCAGCAAATATTATGGTGGGAATGCATCCAATGGACTTCTGGTGAAGTGCATTTTAAGCAATTTGGATTCTTTGACTGCTAACTTAATTTTAAGCAAATACTGTAGTACTTTCAAAAACGAAACATAGAGGTAAGCAGTTATTCTTATTTATCATTATTGTATTATGGTATTACATTATGTTTCTTTTTTCTATGTATTTATACAAATAAAGAAAAAATAAATGTAAAGTAAGATCATTTTGCTCCTGCAGATGACTTCAATTTGATACAGCTTCATAGAACATATGTATTTGATTTGATCTTTGGAACTGTTTTCTATCATAGATTGAAAATAGAAAAAAAAGTCCCATTAAGAAATTATTTATATTGCAATACTTGTGACAAAAAAAAACCAGCCAATCTAAAACTCAAGGAATAAAAGCTCAGATTGTATGCTGTACAGAGACACAAAACAATGAGCTTCTATCCTTTCAGTGACTGCTAACATATTATCCATTATCCCCCTTTTCATTTTAATAAGATGAGCTTTTACTTTTATTATAGCATAACATGAAATATACATCTTGATTATAGCAGTTATTATTATTATTATTATTACTACTATTATTTTGTATTATTATTATTATTCAGTATATAGATATAGTGCTAACAAATTGCACAGCAGTTTACAAAATTAAAGAGAGAAAGTACAGTTACAATACAATTCACGACAAGAGGTTTAGGAGGACCCTGCACATGACAGCTTGCAATATGAAAGGGAGGGGGAAAGTGATACAGAGGGTAAGTATGTGGGTGTATGAGTTGATGGATAAAGAAAATGAAAATAGGCTTTCCTGAATAGATACGTTTTCAGGGATTGCCTACAGATGGACAGAGTATGGGATACCTGGAGAGATTCAGGTTGGGAGTTCCAGAGCATGGGTGAGGCTCTGGAGAAGTGCTGGAGGCGAGCATATGAGAAGGTGATGAGGGAGCTATAGAACAGGAGGTCTTAGGAGGAGTTTGGATGATACTTTGAAAACACGGCTGAAGATGTAGCTCGGGGATGACTTTGTATGTTGTTGTTGGTATTTTGAATTTTATTCAGTGAGGAAGTGGAAGCCAGTGGAGAGATTGCCAAAAAGGGGCAGTGAACACTCAATGATTGGCAAGGTAAATGAGTCTGACAGCAGCATTCATGAAAGACTGAAGGAGGGTCTTCATCATGGAGGTGGGGAGTTGATGTGGGTGGGTACACTTATATACCTCATTTTCCATATTTCCAGTATTTAAAGAGAAATTACACAATATACCTTTAATGGCCTTTAATCTATAAACCATAACAACCATGTCCCTTCAGGTTAATATGCTATATTAGCATGACCTAGGTAGTTAATTTGTAATGCACTGTACTCTGTGAAATAAAGTTTATTAAAGAAGAAAGAAATTGGTGGGGGTGTGGTTCTCAATAGGGCTGTCCACCAGTAGTACATTGTTTAAAGCCCTTCTGATCCTTTTTATACTACCATGCACAGCTCCTTGGTTCAGAGATACCTGCCTGGGAAGTAGCTTCAAGTAGTGCAGAAACTTCAACTGCTCCCAAGACTATGGGGGTCTATTCACAAAGCTACCGAAGAATCTAGCCGTAGCTTCGGCTGATCCTTCGGGTAGCTTTGGCCCCAGGACCCCTTCGGTTGAGGGCTGCTGTACGGGGTATTCACTATAGCCTTTACAGCCCCCGAAGTTGGCCGAGGGGCTCAGTCCAGCCATGGGTATATGCTTCAGCTGGACTGAGCCCAGGAGAAATTTGAAGCTGGCCAAACAGCCAGCCATCGGCCTGCCGACAGCCTACTTCTCACAGCTGGGCAGAGCCAGCCGTCATCTCACGGCTGGCTCCGGCCACTTGCAGAGAGATCAGCGTCCCTGGTTACCAGGTAACCAGGGACGCCTTCTGTCATTACACACAGAACCCGTCAGAGCTGCTGTGATTTTACAGCAGCTCCGCCGGGTTCTCAGTGTAGAGGAGCCGCGGTGTAATGACAGAAGGCGTCCCTGGTTACCAGGTAACCAGGGACGCCCATGTGTCATTACGACGAGAGCTTAGGAGAGCCGGCAGTGATATGAAAGCCGACTCTGCTAAGCTCTCATCCTAATGACAGAACAGCGTCGCTGTGACAGACGCTGTTCTGTCATTAAGATGAGAGCTTTCATATCCCCGCCGGCTCTGACAAGCTCTAATTCTAATGACAGCTGCTCCCGGCCAATAGAACACAGTTGGGCTGAGCTAGCTGTCACTGCTAGCTCCGCCCAATCATTTTATATTTTAGTTTTTTCTACTTTTTTAAACTGTTTTTCTATTCTGCTCGGTACCACAGAGGTACCGAGCAGAATAGCTCGGTACCTCTGACTACTGCAGCTTTGTGAATAGACCCCTATGACTGATCTTTCACTTATTGACAACCTGTTCGCTAACATTACATTCTGTACAGAATAAAATAATTTTTTTCCATCACATCCCTTATTTCTGTCTGTTACCTGCTATATGAGCATTAGATAGGCTTATCAAGTTGGGAAAAGTAAAATGTTGGCCAGTTTTATTTATAAATAGGTGCCCATGGGCTTATTGGTATGAACAAAAGTTTTTTTATGTGTAATCTAAAGACCCTGAAAACCCTTGTCTTTCAGCTACGCTCAATCCTTTTCATTGTTCTAGTGTTCCAATCTCTCACAATTCTTTAAACTTAAGTTTTGCTCATTATTTTTTATGTCTATAAATAAATATTTTGTGTAGTGATTTATATTATTTGTATATTTAGAAATAAACATACATTGAATATTTATCAATCTAAAATAGACTGTGCAATGGTGAACCAACAATAACAATTAGAGATTCTGCTGTTTGAATAAAAATTATAAGAAGTGATTAAGTGAATAAACTAGCGCTCCTCAAAATGTATATACAGTAGTTCCATGTATAAAATTCCTTATGTGATATAAAAGAACTCACCAATTACTGTGCAAATATCCGTTATCCTTGTATAATATAAATGAATACACCAGTGCTATATAAATAACCCCAATTGATGGAATTTGTGCAAATATTTGTCTTCCACTGTGCTCCACATGAGCAAAGAACTTCCTGGTATCACCCTGTGATTCAGTCTCCTTCCCCTTACAAAGGGCACACACACCAGAACAGGTGGACCTGGAGTTGCAAAAGGTCAAATGCACATAATCTAATATTCCACATGTGGTATAATAGGTCTCAAAACACCAAACCAGTGTTACTTATCACAATTTTAAATCATATAAAACAAGGAGAAAACAAATCCATTGCAGAACCCAAAAATTATTGATAAAAAGCTAAAAACAGCATGTAAGCTCATATGTAATATGTGCTCACAGCACCATGTATGCCAACTTCACCCCTTAATCACCATCCTTGTGGGGCCAAGTGAGTGCCATTATCTGGGTGAAGAAGCAGGTCACCAGCACTCAGTAATTTAAATGAATATGTCCTTTTTTATTGGACAAAGATGTCACAATGATCAGAAAAGCCGACGTTTCGGGCCCGCGCAGGGTCCCTTCCTCAAGGCAGAAAGATGCGACAAATATGAAGACTACTACAGACTCTACATCTAAGAACTAATGGCTGAAATTATAAAATATAAAATTATAAAATATATAGGGTTTAATTATCCTTAAAAAAGCACTGCAATAGCAATACTCTATTTATATGGTTAAAACACAATGTCAGATTTCCCAAACAGGAAACAGTGCGGGAGAACCCTAAAATGACACCGCTTGATTCCAAGTAAAGGAGAAAATATAAAATGGCATCCTTTTGTCATTACATGGAGGAGTTGAAACATATGAATTTTGCATTTATACTAGAAAACTCCTTCAATGTGGACTATTGGTATACAGTTATAATTTGTTAGGTTCCAGTGCACAGAATAAAAACCTAAAGCAAAATAGCGGGTTTATGCCTTCATAAAATGAAATGCTAACCCAATGTAATTTGTTTGAATATGCATTAGAAATCCCTTCAGACTTACAAAACGGCGTGATAATAAAAAGTAATAAATTAAAAGAAATGTACCGAAGCTAGACACCTATAGCACCTTCTGTTCTCCTGAGTGAGATCATGCT